GAGTAAACTATCAATATTGTTGTGAAAGGTTTACTCACATACTACTAAGAATATGATTGTAAAAGATTTTCTCACATAAGGATTCATAAGGTTGAAAGGTTTTTCACCTAAGTTGAATCAAGTTAAGGAGTATTCTAAATGACTGTATCTTGGATTGGTTGCTCAATTGTGCCTTTCCATGGATGATGAAATGAATATAATTAACGACTATTCTGTGGGATTTTTCTTAGCATCGAGAGGACATTGATATGGAGGCTCTCTCATTAGTAGAGGTCAGGTCTCTAGTAGCAATCTCTTCGTCCCATAACTATGTATCACCATAGGATTTGTCTCAGATAGACAATAGCTAGTGGATCCACTTTAGCTCAGATATGGTTCTTACCTTGGCAAGTAAGGACATCTCTTTTTGGTATGGGATAGACAACGAATTCCATGTTATAGATCACAGGATCTATGTCGGTTAAATGATAAACTTTCCACAACTATGAACTAAGGTTACTTTTAAAGTATCTCACAAGTGTTTTAAAGATGTTAAGTTTGCATTGACCGTGATTATGACTTATTTTTTCAAACCCTTTTATCTTATGATTTAGCTTGATCATTGCATGTCATGTAAAGTCCTTTTTAGTGTGATTTCATAACTCTTATGCATTGTTATCATACTTAGTACATTCCATTTAATCATACATATATGTGCCTGTATTGTTTCACTAAGATAGGATCCGACCCTCCTACCTCCCACACTCGTGACTAGTTGATCCCTTTGCCACTTGAAGATTGGTAGTCCTCATGATCCGAGGACAAGACACTTTTATAGTGTTCTTTCATTTCAATTTTTAGACATTTGTACGTGGTGTATGCATTACGTCCCAACCACTTCTTTTGATTAGTAGATGGCTTGTTGAGACTTATGTTAGACTTTTGCTTTGTCAGACTCTTTTATGATATAAGACTATCTTTTGAAATATTTATTTCTATTATTCAGAGGGATTGTGTAGGGCCTTTTGGGGTTCTATATGTCATGTTACGACTGGGTTATATTTTGGGTTGTGACAGTATCGAGTGCCGAATTGGGTAAGAGTTCATTTTAACTTAAAGCCCCATAAACTACCTAGCCAGCTTAGGATAGCATCGTACCGACTTTCGGGTGAATCCTCACTGCCTGAAGAAGGCATATTGGATGGATCCATAGTTATAGTCAGGCGTCTTATACCCCGATAAAGTATAGGATGGCCCTGGTAACGTGGGTGGAATGTTTTACCATCACTAGGGTCATAGTAATGATTGTCGGTTAGAGAAACTCCCCAACAAAGTAAAGTTTATTATTTTGATATTACTTTTATTGCATATCTTATTGTAAAGTACAAATACTTTTCACTAGTTGTTCATATCTTGTTTCGCTTGAGTTATATTCAATCATCCGTTTGGTTATTGTTTTATTCAGCCATATTACATACCGTACATTCAATGTACTAATGTCATTCTACCTGCATCATCTCAAGATGAAGATAAAAGTATCCAGGGTCATCAACAGACACTCCGTTGAGATCACTCCACTTTCTGATAACTTTTGGTGGTCCTCCGTTGAGATCACTCCACTAGTTTATTTGTTTTGTTTTAGTATTTATTTTTTTGAGGCGTTGTGGGTCTTGTTCCACCCTTTATCTTGGTATTTTAGAGGCTTCATGGATAGACAGAGTTAGACAGTTGTTCAGTATTTTCTCAGATGTTTTATTTGAACTTATTATTTATGTTAAGCATTTTCAGATAATGTTTTAAGAGTTTTCTTTAAATGATTTAAATGCTCATCAATTAAAGTTGTCGTGTATCTCATAGAGTAATGTATATCATAGTTAGCCAGGTCAAAGGTTCTCTTGGGGCCAACAATGGTCTCCGAGTATCAACCACGTTCAGGGTGTAGGTTTGGAGCGTGATAATGCTTGAGCAGGAAGCTTGTTATACTTGATGTTCCATTTGATGTGTCGACCTCAATGGGACAGTCTGTTAGAGTGGACAGAATATATCCGGTATACACATTCAAAAATTAAAATAGGGGGGAAACTCTTTAATTATCCAATATTCTGATTACAAATTTATTTTAATGATCAGATATACAAACTAAGTCAAACCTTTCAGTCTAAAACTCAACAAGGTAGCCTAAGTAATCCATTCATTTTGCTGCTCTAGGGAAACAACTGTTGGACAACATGCCTGCTTTTTTAGTTAGGATAATTTTGGTATGTTCTTGTTGTTATGCTTAAACAATATTATACTTAGTTGCTATACAATTGTACTTTCTTATTATTAGACATAAAAGCCACTCTATATTTGTTTTTTTTACTTTTCCTCAGTTGAAAAGTTTGCTTAATTTTCCATGTGGCTACATGCTTTTTCCCATTTCACACATTTTAAATCTTCTTGGCATTTATTTCAACTCTCTTTTAATAAATATAGACCCACCTCTTATTTGGAATAGAAATTCTATTTCCTTCTCTTTATTTTTATTTTTTGGTTTCTAATTCAGTGTTCGGTACCTACATTGGAGTCCGACTAAATTCGAATTCGTGTCGAAAAGTCCATTGGGGAAGTAAATCACTCCTTAACAAAGAAGACTCTGTGTCTAGTGAGGACTCGAACCCGAGACCTCTAGCTAAGGATGTAGGAGTACTTACCACTTCACCACAACCTTTGTTGGTTCCTTCTCTTTATTTGTACCTCACGACTCCTTCTTTCACTTTGTTCATTATATGGAAAATTAATGTTTCGAAATGTTAATTGCTATTTTATTATATGTTTAAAAATCACATTAAAGATGCTATAAATCACAATAATTAACAATTTAAAAATATTTTTACTATCTAATAAGAGACTATGAGCGCACAACTCTTAAAAGTATGTTGTTTGTTATATGTTTGAAAATTACGTTAAATTTACTATAAATCTCAATAATTAACAACTTAAAATATTCTATTATATATTTAAAACTATGTTAGAAATATTATAAATCACAATAAGTAATAACTTAAAATAATTTTAAAAAATATATAAAAGACTTATGCCTCATTTAGTAGCACTTAATGGAGGCATGAATCTTAATCATACAGATTAAGTCCATTTGTTTCTTATTTTAAAAAGTCTCTTAATGGATCTGAAAAGATCTAAACGAATCAAATTTGTAGGAGAGTCTTGATACCATTCAAACTTATTTAATACACTTAAAAATAATCACTTGTCACTTTTCTTTCTCTTTGTGTGACTTTGTTCTCTCTCGGTACAAATGTTCTTCCTCTCTTTTCTCAATCAAACATTAATTTTTTTTCTCTTTGAACTGGCAAGATTTCATAATAAATTTTTTTGGGTGTATTGATGTTTATTAAGTACACTTTACCTCTACCTTTTCAAGATTTGTGTACAAAAACGTTTTGAAGGTTCTATTGCAACAAGAGTTCATAGTTGGAGTCCAAGTTATACCTATCACTGTCCTAATATCTCTTATGTATCTACTACTATACATATAGGTACACTTAATGAAGTTGAGTGACAAAAAAATTTGAGGTCTTACTAATTCTGCATCTCAATCTTCAATTTCACTGAAAGAAAAGTTTTAGGATAAAAAAAATCTCCTTATCTCAATTGGAAATTGATGAGAAGATGAGTATTGCTTTAGAGTTATTGATTAACAAAAATAGTGCACCTGATTTGAAGGATGGACGGAAAAATTAGATAGCCTTGGATAGCAAGAATCGTTATACAATACAATTATTAGTATATTTTGTGAAATTGATAGCTACCAATGACACTAGAGGTTCACAAGTTAGAGAATTAGATTAAGTAATGGATAAAAAATAGGAATTCTATAATTTTTCTAATTAGCTAGCTAGAATATATGCTAGACGTTGATAATGTGAAGCCTTCTTTATATTTATTTGATTAGTTGGATTTTTTTTTTATAAAAGAAATGTTTATGTTGAATTTTAAAAAAATAATAATCATATTGTGATATTTTTTACTGATATAGAATTTTTATTTGTATATCATATAATTTAATATATTAATGAAATATAAATATTTAAAATATTATTATTATTTTTTATCAAAAAAGTTTTTTTAGTTTTTATGAAATGAATTTTTTTTATTTATATAATGATTAATTTCATATGCATAATTAGATACTAAAAAGAAACAGTCTTTAATCATTCAGTGTTCAGATCAGGAGACCACATCTTAATATTTCATATGTGTATTCAGATCTAGACATCTAGATCTTAATGCACATCTTAATATTCAGATGTTTATTCAGATTCAAATGTCTTAATTTTAACGGAAACAAATGAAGCCTTAGTTGACTCTTGAAATTCGACAAAATACTATAAATCACAATAATTAACAACTGAAAATATTTAAAAATCATACAAGAAATTTGCTTGACTTTCTAAATCCATGTGTGTCACTTATATTGGAATAGAAAGGAGTAACATATATGATTTGACAATACATAAAAAGTATTATAAATCACAATAAATCAACAACTAAAAATATTTAAGATCATACAAGAAATTTGATTGACTCTCCTAATTTCATCTATACCACATAAATTCAAACAGACGGAATAACATATATTATCTGAAAATGACGTAAAATGTACTACAAATCATAATAAATTAACAACTTAAAATATATTTTTTTAACAAAAACACATACAAAATTTTAGTTAGACTCTCCAAATGTCATAGATATCACATAAATTAAAACAAAAAATAACATATATTTGATTCGTGTCGACACAGCCTTAATTTCCCATTTATGCGAGAAGAATATCCCTTTTTTTTAATCCTTTTTAAATTGTGGTTGACAGGACAAAATTAAAGGCACAAGCCTTTTGAGAATGAAGGGCTAAAATTGAAGCTTGATTCTGAGTGAGCATGACATTCACATAATTACTGGCGAATCCCTCTATGTTGATAAACTGATAATGCTAACCACAGCATGTTGACACGTGGAAGATAAACCACCCTTACCCTTCTCCAAAACACACTATATCCACAAGCCCCTCCCTTTGTTCAAATCCCCATTTCTCAATTGAGAGCAGAGAAAAGAAAAGAAAAGAATTGTAAAAATGGCTAGTATTTCTGGTACCATGATTAGCACTTCTTTCCTGCCAAGAAAGCCAGTTGTGACTAGCCTCAAAGCCATATCAAATGTTGGTGAAGCTCTTTTTGGTCTTAAATCTGGTAGAAATGGGAGGATTACTTGCATGGCCAGTTACAAAGTGAAGCTTATTACACCAGATGGACCTATTGAATTTGAATGCCCAGATGATGTCTACATTCTTGACCAAGCTGAGGAAGAAGGACATGATCTTCCTTACTCATGCAGGGCTGGTTCTTGCTCATCTTGTGCTGGAAAAGTTACTGCTGGAACTGTTGATCAATCTGATGGAAACTTCCTTGATGATGACCAAGAAGCTGCAGGATTTGTGCTCACTTGTGTTGCTTACCCAAAGTGTGATGTTACCATTGAGACTCACAAGGAGGAGGAGCTTACTGCTTAAACTTCAACCATTTCCATTTAAATAAAAACAACACTTCATTTTGTTTCATGAGCATTTACTTTTCATATGTAACTTCTTTTTTTCCCTCTTTTGTTATCACAAAAGTTGCTATCTAGCTCTTTTAAGTCAATCATTTGTTACAACTCTTTATCTCCTTCTTACGTACATAATGATGCAAATTTTCATCTATATTGCTAAATTACTTTATTCCCTAGCCTTGGGGCAACTGAAAAATTTACAAAGTTGACTAGTCTTAAGTTCAAGCATTTGTCTCATGAGAGGCAACAATTGTTGCACACAAAAGATATTAATAACGAGTAAGGTTTTTTCATTAATATTTGGTCTGTTATTTTGCCCAAGCTAGGTGGAAAACAAAAACATCTTATGTTATCAACTGAAAGATTCCCATGTAAAATTCATCGGACTGTTACTATACAAATCAATGTATGTTCATTTTCTGAGTTACACAATAGAAGCCTAATCTAGCTTAATCATAGAGAAGTGATCTCCATTGCCAGAAATAGCAAAGGCAACAATAAGATACTTGTGTAAAAAGGGCTTATCCCTCTGCAGCATGTCACAGCTAGTGTAGCGTATGGGAGGAGTGTGTACAATGTACAGAATAAATAATGTGTAGCATGAGAAAAAATAAAAATCATGTCTTCTGGAACAACTCGAAGAGAGTTTCTATCTTGTCTGCATCATCATTATCCATATTCTCCAGAGGTTCAGATGAATGCGTCTCATCATCCACAATCTCCTCTGTATCAGTGACCAGAGCTTCACATGAATATTCCCTGTTTCTGAAAGATAATTCATGACCTGGTTGGTTTGAAGTTTCAACAATGCAATCTTCTTGTTGATCATTCAACACAACCTTCTCATCTAGGTGGTGAAATGAGCCTCTAGAGGAACATGGAGATAAAGTTACTGATGCCACTGTTGCTATCTCATCCCCCTCATCAATTGTTGATCCAAGGGAACATGTTGATCTTGTAGTTATAGATCGTAGAGCATCGTGTTTCGACCTGTCCTTTACTCTCTTGCACCAACTGTGGAGTGAGTCTCGAACACTTTCAGCTACGAGAGCCTTTCCACACCGTGAACCCATCTGTAAACCAAAAAATTAATTGGAAAGCTGATTTCTGTCTCTATGTGACTAGTTCAATTGGCATCAATACTTACTATGTATTATTCTAGAGATATAAACGAGTAAGAAGGATCACCTGTGAGATAATCACATTTAAAGGAACAGTACTGTGGCTACACCAGAACTGCACAAGAACCCTGTTCAAAGAGTTAGTGCCAAATAGGTCCATTTATGAACAAATAATAAGACTAATTATATAAAATATCTATAAGAGCTCCTCTATGCATCTTAAATAATGTAGTATGTGAATTGCACAAGAACCATTCTCAATTAATACGGTTTCTAGTTAACAAGAAGAAAACCAAGATATATGTGTTGATAGTTAGTCTTTTACTTGATTTTCATTCCATGCTTTATTCAAGAAAGACAGTCTTAACAGCTCCTACTTTAGTTCAATAACTACTCAAAAGTCATAACAGCCATCATTGTAAGGACCCAAATTCTGATGTAACACTCAGCAATTATCTCTTTTCATTTCGTTGGCCATTGACACCTTATTTTGAAAGTATTGGACTTGGTAAGGATGGATTAACCAAGCAACTAACAGGTCTGAAACTTGAAGTTTTTAAGTTAACATACAAGGTGAAAATGGACAAATCAGACAAAACTTGTATAAAAGACATAGAGTTAACAGCTTGAAGCATTCTCTCAATGTCAACGACAACTAATCATTAATGCATTATGTGTGAACTAGTTTCATTTAATAAGATCTGATCAAAGATGATTGAGGGGTGCACTTACATTCTAGAATGTAAAATCAATGGATAAGCTTTAATTATAGAAGATTAGAGGTATAAGTATGTAGTTGAAAGTGGACTGAAAACAAATAGATAATGCAAGGCAACCTTCACAAAAAGACTGATAGACAATGAAGGAGACACCTCGGCAACAAAGGGAGTCACTTGACCCACTACAATGTTTATACTAAAGTAGAACACAGTGATACTAAAAGGAACTTCCGCAATTGTTTAAGATAAGTACAAGGCACTGATCTTTAACCCCCATAAGAAGACGATGGAACAGTGAGACTAGACGGTTCTCTGGTGTCTATGTGAAAACAGCTCAGATAACTAGGCTCAGTCTTATAGGAGAATAACATGATCAATGAAGATGTAACAATGGAACTGAGATAGGGATGACCTAAAATAGGGTACTACAGGAGCAGTATATGATAGGAATATACTAAACAAAGTAAAAAGGAAAGAATGGACAGGAAGTGGACATAAAAGTAAAGTTCTTCACAACTTGGACTATAATAAATGCGGACGTGATTCCATGACAGTACTTTCATAATGAAGGATAGAGAAGTACTTAAGAGCATAAGGGGGTGTTTTCTTTTAAGAGAAGTTCCCCGGGACAACTCAATATGGATTGATTTCATGGTTTTGGCCTACCAACTTTAACTTCAAGGGGGATGGAGTAGGTGATCAAGGCGTAAAATACATACCCTGAAATCAATCTGATAACAACCATTGCATGGTTCTTCATGAAGCACGACCGTTGCTTCAATCCCCACTGCACAATTGGATTAATACTGATATGAGATGAATCATTGATCTAAAAGAACAAAACTTCATCTAAAGAAATTCTAAGGCAATACCAAGAACATGGTTTGAGAATGAAAACAGCCAATACGAGTAGCGAGCAGTCCAAAAGGTGCAAATATCAGTTATCACATTCTTTTCATGTCTATATCAGTCAATAAAAAAGATATCTTTCAGTTTCGGCCTAACAGTGCTGGAGAGAGTGTGCAAACTGAACTTGTACATTATCTCAGATAAAAAGACAAAATAGTTCACCAAATAGAGAGAGAAGTGACCTGTGTGTTTTAATTCCTAAACCATCAAACAAAATGAATTATAGATACGGTAATAGCATGGGGATGAATCCTTAACCATCTGAAAAGAATATAAAGTCTTAATGACTAATTTAAGGTCACTTGTATTGCACTTGTTAAGTGTCTGGTATTGGTTGAAGCGATGTATTGTTGTTCCTCATATGATCTTCGTGATCCTCACCTCATGCGCTAGCTTTTGGGAGGAAATTAGGCTCAATGTCTATCTTAATATGGCATCGGACTCAGAGCGGTACTCATTCCTATTCTTGATTTACCCAATGTTGGGCCCCCATGTCATATTGTCCATATTCCAGGTGCCTAACCCTCCACTATTGGTTGAGCTTTTGTTGTTGTCTCATTATATGATCTTAGGAGTCCTCACTTCGTGAATTATTTTGCAGGATTGAGTTATACCAAAGATCCATTTTCATAGAAGAAGTTTGTCATATTCTTGTTGTTGTCTCTTCAAATTCATCTATCATCTGTTATACTAACCCCCCCCCCCCCCCTCCCCTTCTTAACTTTCAGAGTTTACTAATCTTGGAGTTACTAGAGAAATCTTAATTTCTTAGCAATGTCATTTTGGAGAACAACTTCCTTCCACATTCATTCATTTTTAGCCAGAAGAGAAATTTATTTACATATTGACTTGAGAAAAAGTAGTAATCATTAAACAAGAAGATGCTCCATGAATTATAGTTAAGAAGAAAGGCGATGAATCTCACCAAGGACCAGATAAAGGTTGCCATTTCAAAAGCATTCTGTGTACACAAAAATATCGATGTTAGGACATTTAACCATGCAAATCTTTTTAATCTTTTCACTTGTTTTGCTTGAAATGAACATTGAACAATGAATCGAGCATCAGAGCTTTTGGAATTTGACCTGAAATGATATAAACTGTATCAATCGTAATAGTATCTTCGGTTTTCCAAACCAAAACAATTCATCGCGTGGCTTTACTTGTGACCCAATAAGTGGACCCTTCGGTTCTGCAATTTCAAGTGCCAACGAGGAGACTACATGCTGTAGTTTTGTTCCAACCACCATGACAAGCTTTGGCACAAGTTATTGTTGGGCATCAGATACACATATCATTTCACTCAGGTAATGGACCAAAGAAGGTAAGCTGACTTACGATGGCAGGAATAAAAGAGAGCCAGAAGTAGATATTAAGACCTGCAATATAAGAAACATCATTTCGAAACTTCAACAACCCAACAATGATGTTTTCATGTTACAAAAATTTCATTACCATGAATGTTAACGAAGATGCATATGATGGCATAACCCCAAAGTAGCCAGCTGCAAAGTCCCAGAATAAGTCAGCACAAATATTTAACTATCAAGACATGTATTTCTAGAAGAAACTAAGAATAAAATTGGACAAATTTCCAAATTGTAATATAACTACAGCTCATTAGTTGTACAAATAAGGGTTTTCCTCTATTCTTTATTTGATGCTGGAAAAAAAAACCCAACATATTCCCAACTTTGCATGTATTTTCGCCAAAGTTTATGCAAAAGCACCTAGAAACATTCATAATAAACACCAATAAACACTCAAGGAGGACCTCAAGTCTTTGGTTGATGGCTATATCACAATTACTAAGTATAATTATTACTGAGCCAAAATATTCTCCCACCTATATTGTGAATTAAAATGATCTAAACCAATAACATACCTGATCCCTACAATTTCATAAAATTCATCTTCCATGCTACGAACCATGTACTTGTGGAAATTGTAAGTAAGTGGAAGCTTGTGATTCTGCACGTTATAGAAGCAACGGTCAGGCAATGAAAATAAATAAGTGAATTTTGAGAACTGTTACTGCTTCTTGATTTGGTTTAAGTAATAAATCTGCTACAAATGTGTCCTGTTATCCCTGGCATTACTTGAAATGGAATACTAAGTATCGCCAACAAAATAAAACACCCTATTCTATAAACACCTCCGAGCAACAAAATTGTACAAGGATACTGAACTTTGGAAACAAACAGAATTAAAACATTCAACATAAGTGCTTCAGCGATTACGTTCAGATATATATTATAACTTAACATCAACAACATCTTTAAAATATCCTTCCCTCTTGCACAATGTTTTCCATAATAGAACACCTTTCAATTAGAAAATGCAGCTGCTTAAGCATGTCGAGAATGATGCATACGAATTTTAACCGAGGAAAAGAACACTGAGCATTTCCACCTCTTCCCTTACTTTCCCACACTAACAGAGGAGTTGAGACATCATTTCTAAGTGGAATAATATAAAGGAAGTACCAAAAGAAACTGAATACCTACAGTGATAAACCCCAATCTCAGTGCCAAGTAATCTGACTTGTGAATTGAAGTCCTGAACTGCCTAAGAAAGCAAAGCTGCAAGATTACAAAACAAATCGATGTCACAGATTTTATCCATGAAACACATTTCTGAGATAAAATTCAAGACAAAAATATATAGGAACTTGTCATATTTGTAAGGAAAGCTGAAAAGTGTTGGTCAAAGGTGCTACGATTTGCTAGGCATGTTATTGGCTGAGTTACAACGAAAAAATACATGCACTTAGAACTTGGCAACTCAGATTAAATTAAAAGGAACAACTAATTTCTACACAAATGTTTAATTTCTATTTAGATTTTTAATTCTAGAATATTTACATTACTCCTTAACTACCAAAAGAAACTAAGAGCTCGTTTGGTAGAGTGTATAAAAATAATGCTAAACAGAGTGTATTTGTAATGCTTGCATTAATATGCTTGTATTAGTAATGCTTGCATTAGTTATAGATATATTATTTTTATGCATTATTTGGTTTGGTGCATTAAAAATAACATGCATTGCATAAAAAAATTTATTTACAAAGATACCCTTCACTATTATGATGGAAAAGAGTAAAAAGGTTTTAAGGGGCAATTGGATCTTTAACCATGCTAATGCATATATTAAAACCATTGCATTACTAATACTTAGAAATCCATGGTATTAGTAATACACACCTTAATAAATAATAGAGTGTATAACTAATGCTTGCATAGTTATACATAGGTTGGAAAAGAGTACCAAATAAGGTATAAGTAATACACAAAGTTAATGCATGCATTATTTTTCGTAATACACTCTACCAAACAACCCCTACAGTTTGAATTTATTATTTTTAAAAAGAACAAAAGATATAGAACATTTGAGTCCACTCAAAAAAGGACGCGTAGATAACCTATTCATAATCATACATTTCGCTTCTAGTTAAGAACTGTGAGAAATAAAGGAGAAAAATATAATTGAATTATATATCTATATTATTACACTAAGTCAATCAGGGTTGTTGCACAACACAAGGTGTCCTAACTATATAAGGCAAATTATTGGGCTCATAGAAGACAGCTATTGCACAAGCAGAAAAGGTATTCCAGCAAAACCTATTGCATTGCAGTCAAGCAGAGGAACGAGGAAGAAAGAAGAATAGTGTTTAGGGTGTGCTCTTGCTTTCTTAATTGAAGTTGTTTTATGGATATTATTGAGTTGTAATAATTTCTTGTTTGGTTTATGTTTGATAGTTGTGAGGTTTGTAACAAGAAGAGACTAGAGCAGTTAGAGTTAATTGTTGAGTAAAGATACTAGATTTAGTCCCTTAGATTATACAGATGTAATCTGAAACCGTTCTTTGAAGTTAGTGAAGATTGATTGCTAAAATCCTACTCACGGTAGGCAGAGGCGGAGTCAGGATTCTGGGCTTGTGGGTTCTAAATTTTGAAAAGGATAACGATCTTAAAAATCACAAAACACAAATTATGTTAATGAGATGTTTGAAAACATTACCTTAAATTTTGCCATTCTAAAAACTAATTTTAATAATATGAAGATTTGAGTAATTTATTTTAAAGTTCTAAAATATTGTTAATGAAAGATGAATAATTTTTTAAATATAAATTTCGAACATTTTTATTATAATCTAGAATACTATTTTGAGTGAGAAAAAATTATTAAATTCACCATTAATATTTTCGCACCTAAAATATATATTTTACTAGTTTCATTGTGACCTTGAACTATTACTACCTTCAAAAGTTAAAATTTCGAAAAGCAAATAACAATTATTCACTATAATCAATTAACAATAAGTGGGATAACCCTAGAAAAGATTAAAAGTTGATTTTGAATAGATAATTCTACGGTGTAAAAGCAAACAAATAAGAAAAAAAATGAAAAAGGACAGGCGAGAGTGCGTAGTATATATCGAAGGGAAGATATCGTATGATAGCAATCAGGTCAACAATAAAAGTTAGAACCCTAACTTTTGAAAATAAATTTGGGTTAAAATTTTTGAATATCTGAGTAGAAATCAATGAAAATATATTTGGGTTAATTTTTTTTGAATATTTGAGTAGAAATCAATAGTTTGATATTATTTTAGAATATGACCCAAACACTATTTTTTTTTTTTTTTTTTTTTATCATAAACTGTTTTTCTATTTTTTTTTATATATAAATTATCATTTGCCAATTTTCTATACCGATTTTCTGTTTTTTTTTTAAATATATAAATTATCATTTGCCAATTTTCTATTTTTTATTAAAAAAAATCCAATGTTTTTATCTGAAATTAATTTCAAAAACTTAGTGCCGATAGCGGGTTTTGAACCCACGACACGCGAATTGAATGACCGCACTGGGTGCATCGATACCACTGGGCCACCCACCTTATTATGCTAGAGGGTTCGCAAGAAATTTATTTGTACGTTTTATTTGATATTTTAATACGAATATAGAATCTACGAAAAAGTCAGTGGGTTCGTCCGAACCCCCTTCTGCTACAGTGGCTCCGCCCCTGACTGTAGACCTTGCTTTTTACTCCCTTGAGCAAGGAGTTTTTCCACGGTAAAACTAGTGTTCCTTTACTACTTTCTTGTTCAGTCTAAAGGAAGTTGGTTCCTTGTAGGAGTAGTTGGTACTAGTTCTTTCACAAAGGTCTACAGTCCAAAATTTTAAACAAGTGTTTGGTTTTTAACACCAACTTGGAGGGGAGAAATTTTCCTATTACATAATCTCAGAAGAACTATGTAATAAGAATCCATGATACATGAAAATTACTTGAATGCATCCCGATTTATAGACAAGTGTATGATGTCGTTAGATTAAGGTAATAACTATTACCATCCATATAAGAATCCGACTCCTACTCCATGGATGGGAAGCATGATGCAGAGCAAAGGTGGACTGTCGTCTCATCTCCTTATTCTTTGGCACTAAATAAAACAAGAAAAAGGTTTATTTAGAAGCTCAGCTCTATGATAAAAGATGAGAACACATAGTTAATATTTTAAGAAAAATCATGCAATTAAATTACATACTTGTTGAACAATCTAGGATAAGTTTCCTTAAATTTGTAATTTGTGCAAATATTACTTATATGAAAGATTATGAATTTGTATTGAGAGGACATAGTTTATTATCTTTAATTCCACGCACCTTGTAAGTTGTTCTCTTCCCCAGAGCTCACTTGGTTTTCCCACTTCCTCCAACTGTATATCTACAATCAAATTCATTCAAAACCCCAAACAAGGAAGAGCTACAATTTGATATAGTAAGTAAAGCCTTAGAACATCTACATCCAGTGGCAGACCCAGAAATTTCACAAAGGGTGTTCAGGTGCTAAAGTGAGCCTGCTCTTCTTAAAAAGTGAAAAAAAAAAGAGCTGCTAATTTGAACACATGAACACTTTGTTAATCATTATACTTGTATATACAGTATAATTTTTCGACGAAGGGTGTCGAATTGGACATGTTGACATGAGTGTAGCTACGCCACTGTCTACCTCCCTAAAACCAAACTCAGATACAAGCACTTGCATAAAATAGACTACGGTGGATGATTTAAATTTTTTTGATATGGAAAGTGTACCTTGGTCATGGCCAAGCCGACAACAATACAACTGTAGAGAACATGGGTGATACCAAGAACAAAGAGGAAGCGGTGAAGCTGTTCAAGACCTTCATAGGAGACAAAAGGTTCACGTCCCTGTTAAAGATTTATGGTTAATTATTAGTAGAAAGCATGATTTGATTTAATTTAGATGAATGAAGAAAACAATTTACCTCACCACATTGATGTGATGGTTGATAAATTCCCTTGGGAGGAATAAGAGTAGTATGATTAGAGAGAATGGAGGAATGGATTGCGTCACTAGTACTACTACTGTCATAATCTTCTTGAGAACAAAGGTAGAATCTACTAGTGAAAAGGGATGAATTGACACAAATTTGAGAAATCTGCCTTGCACATTGTCCCAACAACAAAGAAATTAGGCCAAGCAGCATCAACTCTGTCTTGAGAAAAAAATAATAATCAGATTTTGCATTTTTAGGTTGTTAATTAGTTGATGAGTGAATGAATGAATTGGTCACCTTCCTTTATCTTCTCTACAGAAGCAAAAAGAGCTTTTCTTCTAGTCTTTTTCAACCACTGCACAAATCCCAGTAGATAGAGCTTACTAAGAAAAGACTATTGGACTTTCACACAAGTCCAATAGTAATATTATTATTGACTACTACTCAGTACTCACCCTTCCAAATCGGTAAATGGAGCGTTGAGCAAACAAGCAAACAAATACCATAACAGTGGTGACTGTTGCAACTGACCATGTTGGTGTTTCCTTCAATGACCTTCCTTCCCTCAAAATGCCTTCCATATTTCCTTGAAGATCCACCAAATCGCCGATTTAGAGTGGACGGAATCTCCCTCTCGATTTAGACTAATAATAATAATAAAAAAAAAATGTGTGTACCTTCTTTCACTTAATTAATTAATGTAAGAATAAACAAATGGGAAAGAGCAGAGCTACAAATGCGTTGGGGGAGCTGCTAACATCTTTTTGTTTCCCCCGACTCCGACCTCTCACATGCATGCTGTACCTAACACCCCCCTAACTCCCTCTTTTTCTGCATGCCCCTTACACTTCTTCAACTTTTCCTTTCATTTTTCCCATCCATCTTTATTTATCCACTATATTAGAAATAATTATTTAATGGAATAGTAATATTTATCAAGACATAATTTATGCCTATTTTATTTTTTCTATTAAATATTACTCTCTCCGTTCCAGTTTAGTTATCATTATTTTAAGTTTCACGTCTCTTAAGAAATTAGGTAAGTTTATCAGTGTGTCCTTACTTGATGTCAGGTTTTTAATAAATAAACATAAATTAATTTATTTTGATTAATAAATTTGACCAATCAACATGAATTAATTACTCCATCCATTTCAAATTAATTGAATTGTTGAGGTGTTTTACATTCTTTAAGAAAAAAAGATTAAGAAATAAATTTGGCATACCTTTTCATTTTTACCCTAATTAATTATTGTCAAATTTATGATTAAAATAATAAACATTAATTAATAAATAATTCCAATACTAACTAATGAACAGTAAAATTGAAAAAACATTTTAAAAGTAGTCTTGAAAATTGAACAATTAAGTTAATTTGCAAAAATGAAAAATGACTCAACAATTCAATTAATTTGAAATGGAGGGAGTACTTTGTTTTCATATGTTGGTCAAATGCATAATTTCAATGTTAATAACTCCCAAGGGTAAAATTGGATAAATAATGGTATTTATGCATTGATTTTGTGAAATGACAAGTATTAAGAAACATCTATTTTTAGTAAACACGACATATAAATAAGAACGGATGGAGTATTCAATATCTAATATATTTCCTAAAGTATTAAATTTAATACTCCCTCCATTCCGTATTAAGTTAATTTTTGAGGTATTTCACACCCTTTAAGAAAAGTAGATTAAGACATAAATTGAACATAGTTTTCCATTTTTACCCTTATTAATTATTGTCAAATTTATAATTAAAATAACTAAATATTTAATTAATCACTAATTCCAATACTAACTAATGAAGGGTAAAATTGAAAGAACACTCTAAAAGTAGTCTTGAAAACTGAACAATTAAGTTAATTTAAAAAATGGTAAATGCCTCAAAAATTAACTTAATATGGAATAAAGGGAGTACATTCAAATGGTAATATAGTAATATTATTCTCAAGAACGGATCTATATAGTAGTCAGGGAGTTCAATCGAATCGCCTTCGTAGAAAAATTATCTTGTATATATAAAGTTAAATCTTTAATAGATATTATAAAATAAACCCCTCACCATAGACTTGAGTCATGGTACAGCGGTAAGCGGGTTCATATGTTGCAAGAAGTCTCGATTTCCATTCCCGAATGATCATTACCCACATGCAACCCATCTTATAATGGATACAAATTCTCGTGAATCATGAAGCATTAATAAAAAGTAAATTGCCTTACTTATTTTTGTCTTCTCTGTTTTATGCTTAACTATGGTAAAAAAAATAAAAAAATATTTGTTTGAACATGTCAAATATAATTTTCATATTATGTTTGAACTTGAAATTTTTTTCTCTACACAATGTTCCTCATGATGATTAAGTTTATAAAATGAATTGAGTTATAGTTCAATTTAAGTATTTCTTATAATAAAGCCTACTATTCATTTTTGACATCAAAAACATATATATGAATTTTTATTGCCATTTATAATCCCTTTTATATATCATTTAGTGTATGAACTAAGTTTTGAAAGATATGACAAATTTGTAAAAGAAAATTCTTCCTTCGCTTTGGACGTCTCCATAAATTTAACAATTTTTTCTAAGACCATAAATATTATTACGAAAAGATTGAAGAGTTTCCATTAAAATGTTTGTGCTTCCATACATAGAATTAAAATTATGAAAATTTCATTTTATGAAGAACCAAGCTTATAGTCCCTCCATATTTTAAAAGTGTTTTCTGGTCTTTTAAACGTGTTTCAAAACACGTGATTTGTTAAAAAATCAAGCAAATATTTAAAAAACTCGATGATGCATGACAAAAATTGAAAGAAATGTTAAAAGAACTATAATAGGGTGAGATAACACATAAGAGTTAAGGTTATTCTTTTCCTTAATCGCCCCAACCTATTTTTGAACCCCTTGGATGAAAATGTAAATTTGGATCATGGGTCGCCCATGTGGATCTGACTCGATCCAATCCGACCCAACCCGAATAAAGTTTCTAAAATAAAGATAAATACAATTTTGAAAAGAGGTGAAAATGGTTACAGGGTAACTGCTGAACTACTTTTACTCCCTATTTTATAGTTGTGTTTCACTTTGATCGGGAGTAAGAAAAAGAAACAGAAAGAACATAGAAACAAAAAAAGGGTTGAAAGAGGAAATCAAATTTCTATCTTCAGAAAAACATCTACTACAAATTGACACTTAGTAGGCGTTTGGCCATGCGATACCATATCACGATATGGTGTTGTGAGATGGAATCAGCGTTTGGACATGCGATTTTACGCTGATTTCATCTCATGATTCCATATCATGAGAGGTGATACCATATTCTCCAAAAACCATGATATGGAATCACCATGTGATTCCATATCATGATTTGAGATATTTTAATACAATAATTGATCCATGAGTTTATATTTTGTTAAAACAACCCCGCATTTATATCTACTAACCATTTGTTTCATATGTAAATAAAATTTATAATCACATCATTACTTTTTAAAATTTATTATTCTCACCAATATAAAATTTATTATCACTTTAAATTTGGTGAATATAAATGATAAAGTAGAAATTCATTTGGTGAATATAAATGAGAACGAAGGGAGTAATACTTTTTTGATTTTTCATAATAAAAAAAACGTCTTAATCTTATGACTAAGCATAATATTGATAAAAGACAATTTTCATTGGCGGTGCCGCACTTTCTTAATCTTAGTATTTGCAAAATGTTCGTTCACATGACTGAAGGATATCAAGTCCAATTGATTGAGGACTTGGGAAAATTTGATCAATTAGTTATTAATATTTAGTCAAGTGGACTAGTTATAATTTTTTTGATTAAATTTTATTAGAAGTGTTTTTGACTCAAACTTGTGGTAACTTTTTAAAATTTCGTTATTCAATAATATTTAACTATTGATTTTTCTTGTAAATAGTTAGAAGTTAGTGATGTTTGTTAATTTTTATCTTAGTGCATTTAACTTCTAAGTTAATATTTACTCACTAATGTATGTTTTTTTCTACTTTATAGGTTATTTGTAAGAGTAGTTGAGAGATATGAGCATATCAAGTACAATTTATGTTCAATTTTTTTTAATTAAATTAAAGTTAGATGAAACAATTATTTAACTGAAGAACAAATAACTTTGTAATAATTTATTATGCGATTTTATAATTTTTGTTTATTTGATAAGATTGAATAAACAATTGGGGATATTTTAATAGTTTTACAACTTATGGGATTTTTATGTTTATGAGAAAATATACAACACAAAAATTCCATATCGCATGTCCAAACAAACCTTCAATTTCATCTCATGATTCCATATCATGATACCATATCATGACTCCATATCATGATACCATATCATGACTCCATATCATGATACCATATCATGATTCCATATCATGATACCATATCGCATGGCCAAACGGGTTGTGAATCAATTATTAGTTTGTGAATCAATTACCTGTTTCCTTGAAATTCAAGTTTGGCTTGGAGCAATTCTAAGATAAGAATTTCGTTGATCTTTCGATGTTGATAACAAGTACACAAATTTCGTTCCTATTATGAAAGTTTTACATTGGTATCAGAGGATGGTTAGTTGCACCATATTTTTAAATAAGCATCTCATTCTTGATTTTTCGAAACTATCGAAAAAAAATCTAAATAAGTTTGATCAACCCTTGATATTGATGGTTGTAGATTGCAAAGATTTATTCAGTTTTCACATGTTAGAGATTACTTTGATACTGAGTATGTGTTTGTTATATTTTCTCGCTTCTCTATTTTTTGGGTGAAGAAGAAGTGTTCTGATTAAAAAATGGTTTGTAAAATGAAAAAGGAGTAGTATGCTATTAAATAAAAAGATTCTCTTTTTTTTCTTTGTATGCAAAATCGTGTACAATTAATGGGTCAATTGATTGAATCCTTCCAATATTTTTTTTCAAAGTAGCATCAAAGTAATGTTATTTTTTTTTTGAGTAAATAAAAAACAGAGGAGATTTATAAGGGGACAAAAACTGTGCAGTAAAAAGGTCAAAGCATTGTTTTTTATAATTTTTTTCGAGTAAATAAAAAAGAAAAAGAGGAACAGAAACGTGTGCCAAGAAAGGTGGACACTTAATTTTTTTTTTTGAAAATGGTCAAATATGCCTCTAAACTATGCGAAAATGTCTAGATATACCCCCGTTTGAAGTTTGGCTCATCTATGCCCTCGCCGTCCAACTTTTCGCCCATATATGTCCTTGTAAACGTTAGTTGCTTTGCTGGAAATAACCAATTCATTTTCCCTTTCTTTAAATAATAAATGGAATTGCCACATCCCCTTTTAATTACCACGTGAATACACCTCTTTTAAATAGAATATCCGACCCGTAAATCATATCCGATCCAAGGTGGCCGGAGTTTCAATTCCTCCGACCAGATCTAAAATGAGATAATTTGACATTTGAAATACAACTATTTTTGGGTAGTTTGCTAGTTGTCTTGCCAGACCAGTGAGGTGTGTGGGTTGGTGTTTTGTCGACTACCTTGGGGGTGCTGTTCTGGAGCTCGTGGTGGTCGGAGCTATTTGGTGGTTGTTTGTCCGAGGTTGTG